GGGGACCTGGGAGCAGCACAGGGCACGGTTCATATCTATATGCCCCAGGAATATATTAACAAAAGTCCTTATAAAATGTTAGGGAAACGAAGCCAATAAAATATGAAAAGTGTACTATACAATGACCGAGTGGTGTTTATCTGAGGAATGCAAGGCTAGTTTACTGTCTGAAAACCAAACAAAGTACACGCCACCTTCACGAAATATAAGAGAAATGACTCTACGTGTGTCTCAGGAGCTGTGCAAGGAGCAGCCAACAACGTCCAAGGTGCCTTCATGATAGTAACTGTCAGAAAAATGCGGATACAAGGCAACGCCCTCAGCCTGCAAAAGCCACCAGCTAATATCACATTAAACTCTTTCCCCTTGAGACTGAGACAAGGGCAATGATATCCACTCTCAGCCTTTCCGTTCAACATTTTACCAGCGTCCCTAACAACTGACCTAACACAATGGGACATAAAAGGCACACAAACTGACAAAGAAGTAAAACTCTTATCGTTCACAAATAATGTAAATATTTATGTAGAAAACCCAAAAAATGCTGGGACAAATAAGTTATCAAGGGCACAGTATACCATGTCAATATATAAAGATGAATTCCACTTCTACATACTAAGTCACAACTGGAAAGTAAAGTTACAAAATTAAATATTTTTATAACAACATCAAGAGAATATCAAATTGCTGGGAACAAATCTAATAAAAGCGATGTGAGGCCTCTCTGAAGATTGTAAAACCTGCTGAAAGAATTAAATGCTACCAAGATGAGTTGAAAAGTGCCCCATGTTCACGGATGGAAGGTTCAACACTGTCACTGCGGCCTGTCCCAGAAACGGTCTAGGATTCAGTGCGAGTCCCCGAGACACTGCAGAAGGCATTCTTGAAAACTTAGTCAAGCTGATCCTAAACATCAGCTTGTATCTGGAAATGCAAAAAAAATAAAAAATAAAAAATCTAGAAGAGCCATAAAAATTTTTAAAAACGAGAAAAAATTTTGGAGCTTTTACACTCCGTAAATTCAAGAATTATTATAAGGCTACGGTAAGTGAGATGGGGAAACGTCATGACAGGAAAATAGATGAATGGAACAGAACAGGAAGTCAAGAATAGACTTGGAGAAGGGAGTGGGGGTTGGCTGGTTGTTTAATAAAAACCACAGAAACCCCTGGGGGAGAAGGACAGACCTACACGCAGGGCCCATTGCTCTTCACCCCGGTGGAAAGAACCTCTTTCTAACAACTGGAGCTGGAGCAAGCAGACATCCGGATGGAGCAAAGAAGCCGCGTCCGTCCCTCACCCCGTACTCGGAAAACGACGCCGCGGAGCACAGATCAGTGGGACCCAAGCGACGGCCTCTGGGTACCGGGAAGGGAGCAGCTTCACCACGTGGATTCCTAACAGGATTTATTGGGGCAAGTTTGGGGACCTTTATGAGGCCCTGGAATGGGACAATCGTCTTCCGTTTGATGTCCAGAGGTTTTTACACCTGAGTCAATGAAGATCCTGGTGAGTCAGCAGTAAACTTCCCTTTTAAGTGGAAAGAGCAGCATGTGGGGGGAGGGGACCTCCGCCCGGGGACCTCCCCTCGCCGTCAGCTTTAGGGAAGCGTAGCCGTGGCAGTGAGGACCTGGACAGGGTCCCATCCCCGCTTCCGCCAGAGAGAGCCGGGCCCTGCGCCGGATCGGAGGCCTCGCTGCCGCCCTGCCCTGCGTCGCCCTGTTCCTGTGGCTTGTTTCTAAAGGACTTGCTGTCCACCTTGCTAAGTGTCTTGTGCTCATAAAGTTTTCTCCTTCCTGACTTTAGAACCAAGTTTTACCTTAGGAGGAATGATGTATATTGACGCAGGTTCTCCGTAACTCAGTGGTAGACGGTAATTACAGGTTAAAGACGGGAAAGGGTCAAAGAGGGAACAGACTGGAACGGATTTTTCTCCGGTGATGAGCTGACTTTCCCGGGTCCCACAGCAAGCGAGGCACACAAATGCTCAAACCCAGGTCTTTTGCACCAAACTGCCTGCCCTTTGCACCATCTGGCCCCCAGGGCCCCACTGTGTAACCAGAAAGACACTGTTCAGTTTATTAAAATATTAATTACTCTGGGTCCCCTTTAGAAACTCAGCCTGTCAAGACCTGTCCAGAGTCCAAGGTCCCTGGGGGAAGGGCCTGTGACTCAGTCTCCCGCAGCCTGCAGCACAATATGGGGGGCTCCTCTTATTCTGAGCCCCCTGAAGGGCTGGGGGTGGGGCTGGGGGAACCCTAGGAAGACAAAATCCTGGTCCAGCCTTTGCAGAGCAGCTGGTGACAGAGGACACTGGGTTTTCAGCGAGGGAGACCCCAGTGCTATGGGGTCACAGGGAGCACCATCCACCCCATCCCGCTCCTTCCCTAACGGCCCCTCACCCCTCAGCAGACCCCACGCTGGGCAGGAGCCGTGGTCCAGCCTGGGGCCAGCTTTATTTCCCAGTTCTGCTTGGGCAGTGGTTTATTAAAAAATATTCTTCCAGTATATTTGCGCCCACACGTCTTCTGTTTGGGATATTTCTACGGATGAAGAGCAGGTTCTCCAGTGGTCCTAACACCAAGCAGCAAGTCATTCACAAGCAGCACATCCCCTTGTAAAGCAGGAGCTGGGAAACCAAAAGTTCAGGTCCTGGCAGTGCCCTCGGGGGTCCCGGGTCTGCCTCTCGCTTCTATAGTGTGGGCGGCACAGACCCAGGGACGCCCCTGCCTCCAGCCTCCGACCACCCGCCAGCCTCTCTCGCAGTCACCACCCCCTGAACCACCTCGGAACCACCTCGGCCTCCGAGACCAGCCAGCACCGGCTTTCGAGCTTAACTCCTTACGGCTGAGCAACCACGAGCTCCCAGATTCATCACAATTATTCCACGAGGTGGAGGCCCTGTCCCCCACCAGGCCCCCCTGCGTCTGCGGCCTCCACACCTACCTCTCCCTGGGCTTCTGTTTCCAGTGCGAGGATGCGGCTCTGGGGTCGTGGCCACTTCTTCCTCGAGTTGGTGGCCAAGGGCGGCTCTTAAAGATGCAAAACCAGGGGGTGGCCGCACTCTCTTCCAGGACGTGCTGAAGCCGTCCCAGGGTGAGTGGGTGACACTCAGGGCGCCATGGAAGCCGCCATGGTCCTGGAGAGGAACCTGCACCAGGCCCCGCGGACCTGCAGGCCTGGGCTCTGCCCGCAGACCCCCAGCTCTGCGGCTCCCTGGAGCACAGCTTCCGGGACAAGCAGGTGAAACTCATCAAGAAGATGGGCGACACCTGGCTCACCNTCAGACCTGCAGGCCTGGGCTCTGCCTGCAGACCCCCAGCTCTGCGGCTCCCTGGAGCACAGCTTCCGGGACAAGCAGGTGAAACTCATCAAGAAGATGGGCGACACCTGGCTCACCCCCTGGCTCAACCCCCTGGTTCATCCCCTGGCTCACTCCCCGGCTTCTCTTCGAAAGGCTCCCCTGCCACTGTGACTAGGAGCCTTTGGAGCCCCGAGGCCTTGAGGGCCCCTCTGCATTCCCCTGGTGTCTGGCTTCTGCCTGGGCCTCTCCCTCTGACCCCAGCCAGCCTGTTAACCACCCTGAAGCCCTCTCCCATGCACTGGACCAAATGGAAACAATAAAGCTTTTTACAGCAGAAGAAAGGAAAAAAAATTCAGGTCTTCACGCTTCAATTCTGGCTAAACACCCGATAAGGCAAATGAATCACTGAACATCCTAGAAATAGTAGGTGGGGTCTAAGGCAGCTGGGGTGCTGGACTGAGCAGCTGGCGTCAGTCAGCGGAGGGAATTTAAACAGTGGCTTCTCCCGCTCCTTTGGGCAGTTTCTGCGCCCTGGTCACCGTGTTCATCCCCAGGGCCGCTGCCTCGCGCACCGAGCTCTCTGGACTGGACCACCTGTAACCCCCAGGAAGCCGAGGTCCGGTTAGAGCAAGGATCCTGCCACTAGGTGGAGGGGTCGCCCCCATCGGGCACAGGTGGGGCTCTGGCCGCTGCTGCGAACACCAGCGGGAAAGATCCTTTACAAGTCCCGTGTCGTTCAACTACTTTACTTTATGAACTAACTCCGTCGGTTCCTCTTAGGCACTTTCACTTGACGGCAGAAGGCCCACGTTTGTCCTCACGGCGTGAGCACGTCCTTCAGGCTGCCACTCCCCGAGTTCAGCCTCGGCAGCGTTGGCCATTTCAGTCTCTTGAAAATCACTTAGCACCGTTTTCATTTTTGTGGCCATCAGCACGGAGTAAATATAGGCATGTTTCCCTCCCGGCTCTGCCACCGATCAGATGAAATACTAAATTTCACGGCAGACGGAAATGTCTTTGGGACAAGGCCTTGACCACCAGCTACAACCAACAGCAGAATCTCGCAGGAAAGGGAGGGGCCTGAATAAGCAGGAGACCACCCGAATGTTGCATATTGCCTTTATTTTGCAGAAAATGCTTCCTGCTGATTGTCTTTGGCTACTTTGTCAAAACAAAAATATAAACAGTTGTAGGTTTAACAATACAAGGGTTCGCTACCTAGGTGCGGACAGGCCCGCTCCCCTGGGCGACCAGGCCGCCTGCGTTTCGGTGAGTCTGCCTTCAACTAGGACATCCCTGCTCCACGGCTCAGCTCCACCGTGACGCCTGCCACCCAAGGGGCCTGACAGCTACTCGAAAGCGAGGAGGAAGGGAATTAAAAGTGTGCCTTCTATCTCGTCAAGGTAGGGCCAGCGGGGTTCGCAAATTTTGAGGCGCCAAGGTCACCCACGTGCTGTGACCTTTACGGTGCATCGCGGTGAGTGAGGCCGATCAGGTGGGATTCGCCTGCAGCACGCACATGACCCGGGACACTGGGCGAAGCGTGTGAGGGGGACGCTTGTCTGTGTCAAAGTGGGGACACCAAGGCCTGTTTCCTTCCCCTGACCCAGGAGGCCGCCAAGTGTACCTAGTAGATCAACTGATTCAACACCTGTTGCCACAAAGAAGTCACTGCGTCTTTAAGACACGGGTGTGGTCACATGGAGGGCGGCGACACCGGCGTCCAGGAGGCGATGAGGCAGGCCTGGGCCGCGGCATCGTACTGGCTGTCGGGGACGTCTGCGGCCACGGCGGCCCCGTCGTACAGCGGGGATCCCGAGGAGGAGGCCGAGCCTGGGTGGGCGAGGGGCGCGGGGTGGGCAGAGGACCCCCGGAAGAATGGGGCCCCCAGCCCGCCGGACATCCCTGGCGACTGCGCGCCCGGCGTGATGGCGCCGTTGCTCACGGACCACAGGCTGGGGTACTGGCTGCAACGGAAAAACAGATGGTCAGAGACGGGAGCAGGCTCCAGGCCGGCTGCCGGCCAGGAGCCCCCACCAACCTGGGTCCTGAGGACTGGGGGACCCGGTCTTTCAGACCTGCCGCTCCCGTCGGACCGCACTCTGTCGGCCTGAAGCAGGGTCCCCAGGAGGCTGACCACAGAGGGCCCCGGCGGGCACCGGGTTCGGGGACAGCACTGCTGGGCTTGCTACTCAAGGCTCCAGGACGGGAGCCTTTTGTTCTTGTTCAGAATAAAAAATTCCCCGATGGCCTGAATCAAACGTTCGCAAAGACGAGCCTAGCTTAGCATCTGTGTTGGCTCCCCCACTGCAGTGGCTTTCAGGATGGAGACAACACCCTCCGAAAACACTGGCCCTGGAAGACAATGGTCCCTCAGAACAACCCCCACAGGCGGCGAGGATCGAGGCCAGAATGGAACCCAGAATCGAACCCAGGACCCTTCAATCCCCGGGCCGATGCTCTAACCACTGAGGAAAACTGGCTACTTTTGATGCTGTTTCCCAATCCACGGAAGGGGTTGGAGACGGATATTAAGCCCTCTAGCGAAAACCACAGATTTGAACAGCACCGAACTGTGCTCAGACTAAGTTAAGAGACGTCTTTCTCTTAGAGAGGGTCTGTCTAAGGGAAGGAGACCCTGCCCCGCATCGAGCCGTATTCTTCACCCCCGTCCTGTATCTCAGATGGATTTGCATCTGCAGACAAGCCCGCGCTACAGTGAAACGAAACGAGGCTCTGAGGTGCCCGGTTAGCACACGCTGGTACTGAAACGTCAGGGTCCCCGTGACCAGCAGTTGGCGACCTGCAGGTCACCCAGTTCACATGCAGGTGTCTAAGTGACCTCGAAGCCCTTGAGAGTTTGCTACTTTGTAGACAATTAGATTCTTATTATAAGGGAACTGTTTCCTAGGCAAAAAGAATGAAGACTTCGGGCACATTTTGGTATTTTGTTGCAATCAGTTGCATCGCTTTTGAGGTCGAGATAACTTGTCTACAGATTCTCTGAACTGTGAGTCACATGTCCGATCATCTGATGTCTCTGAACTGGTTTCCTCATTGGAAAATGGACTTGACTTCTTGCTGTGTTAGTTTCTTATTATAAGAATCCTATGAAGAAATGTAATACATTTACCAGTCCTCTTGGTTTTTTTAAGCCAGTCTCCTTCCGCATAATTTTCAAGCTAATAAAATGGTCATTATTCTTTAAAAATTACCCAGCATATATGTTAGTGACTTTGATTCTATGTCCACAGAAACGCCAACAAATGTATATCCTTCATTTAATAGCTCCTGTCAGAAAAGATTCTGGAAACGTTTCTTCAAAATTCACCTGCTATTAAGTGCAAATTGGCAGTTACAGAACAGTCCCGGGGATGTAAAGTACAGCACAGGGAATTTAGTCAATGATACTGTAATAACTATGTATGGTGCCAGGTGGGTACTAGACTTACCAGGGTGATCACTTCATAAATTATATACATGTCTAACCACAACGCTGTATACCTGAAACTCATATAACATTAAATATCAACTGTAATTGAAAAAATTAAATCTTTTTAAAAAAATTTACCTTCTGACCTTAACAACCCTATAAAGACAGGCTGAGGCTGGGGTTATTTAGTGTGTTTTTCTTTTTTTATTTTTATTTAAGTGCCCCAGCTGGGAATTGAGCCTGCAACCTTTCAGTGCACAGGACGACACTCCACCAGCTGAGCCACTCCGGCCGGGCTAGTCTCTTTTTCTTAAAGAAATAAGGCTCAGAGTTTGAGACTGTCCATCACAGGCACTAGTAAATGGCAGCGCCAGCACCGGGCCCTGATTTCCTCTCGTTAAGGCCCAGCCCCCGTTCACCCTGTGGGAGGCCCGGTTCCTTCCAGAGCCCAGGACGGAGCAGGAACTCCCAGCCATCACAGGGCCTGGGACCCTGCACGTATCTGGCTAGTGGTCAAACTACACATAAAAACCCCACCACCCACAGGCACCAGAGGCCCCGGGCCCCGCTGCATCACTCCCCACGCACGTTACCTGGCGCCCGCGGGTGGGCCAGCGCCGGCGCCCACGGGAAGCATGCTGCTGTGGGCGGGCATCCCGAGGCCGGGCCAGTTGTCATGGGACTGGAGCATGGACAGACAGGCAGGTGAATTCTCAGAATAGGCTACGGGGTGCAAGAGAGGGTCACTGTCGGTAGGGTCCTCCAAGAGCAACAGGATGCATCGAATTTTACCGGTAACTGTAGCCACCCAACAACGGTGCAAACGCGATGTGTGCCCTTAAGTGTAGAAAATGGCCCACCAGCCTGCTTCATCGGCCAGCCAAGGCTGACTCATTGCCACATGTGCATGCAGGGGGGGCAGGAGTAGGTGCACAGTCGCGAGTGACATTCCCCTGAGTTAATAAAGCTACTGTGATAATCTAACCTGCTTGCCTTTTTCAAGTGAATGACTGTGAACCTACTTTTCCCCACCCTGTATTTGAAACAATATTCCATTAAACACAGGCGTTTTCTTTATTATTAGATCAATAGCTGCCCTGTAGAAACACAATCCTACAATCACTTGATGGAGAATTAATTATATTTTTAAAATAAAAACAAATACCACTTTAACTTGCCTGTCCCCAAAAAATTATTTCTTAAGAATTGAGAGGACTTTAGAAACCATGACTCCAGGCAAAATCTAAAGTAGATCTTTGGCCGCGGGGTTCAGCCTCTGGTGGAACAAGTCCCAGCAACTGTCTCCTTACCAAGTAAGCTCCTTTCATTCCAAGTCGGCTTTAATTGCTTAATTGTTTTATGGTGTTCGTTAGCTTTTCTTCCTTCTGGAGCCAGACAAGATTAAGTCTAGGCATACACGGTGTCAGAATCAAGAAAGGGGACCTAATGGTCTAGCTTGGTGCTCAGGCACTTGGGCCTGCACCAGGATCACCTGGGGGCTTGTTCAGCCACCTGATGCAAGGAGCCTGGGGTCGGGCCAGGAGGCAGAGATGGTGACCCGGGTCCACACGGGTCCACACTTGGAAAAACGTATGGGCTCGGAGCGAGCCAGGAATCGCTGTGCCTGGCTGGCCAGACACACCCCTTTGGGGAGGTTGGTAAACTATCAAAGCCTGGGCCTGGAGAGGGACCCACAGTGCTGGGGTGCGAAAGCTCGAGCATTGGCCGATGCCCTGGGCACCCGGGGCTCCTGGCTGGGATCTCCTGTGGTCAAGCCAGCCATGGCGTGGACCTGGAGTGAAGGCCCTGTCCTGCCCTCTGGACCCCTGCTGATGCCTCCCTAGGACTGGTTTTCTCACCACCC